ATTCGAAATAAGAAAAAATAGAGCAAAAAAACTGTTTTTTTAAGAGCCACCCCAACTCAATTCAAGAAAATAGCTCTAAATCGTCCAATTTAAGAGATACAAAAAAGTTATCTCCAACAAAGTTGCTTTAAATTAGCTCAGCTATAACTTTGCCGAAAAATGTATACCTTAATTTATTAAAACAAAAAAAGTTAGATTTTTGATTTTAATGATAATAGGAACCACCCTAAAATTCATTGTCATAAAAATGAGGGCCTAACTATAAGGAACAACTTTGTACAATAGACTTTTAGTCTAAAGTTCCAATTTCAGGCTCAAAACATATCATTCCACCTAAATCTGCATTCTGTACCACTGTGCACTGTGGAGCGAAAATTTCAAATTTTGCATCAGTCTAATATCTATACAGAGCTGGTAAAAGGGCCTATCTGCTTTTATCGATTCTCTTCATCGACTTTCTCTTTTGATAGCCACGGCTAAGCAAACAGTTTTCTAGCTATTTTTGCCACATAACATGATAAAGGAGGTTTTTATCTATCATCCAAATCGTCAAATACAGCAGGGAATGTAGTAGCAGCTGAGTTATTAACGAAAGAGAAAGTCGATGAAGAGATTTGATCAAAGAAGATAACCCTTTTTTCCAGCTATGTATAGATATGTTCGATCGAAGCAAAGTAAAGATCGTTGATAGAACGTATAAAACGACTAATCTACCAATACTGGAGATGTACCATATAGCGAACACGATTAATATAGTTAACCGCAGGACCGATATAGATAGCCTTAGTAACACATATGCAGGCATTTTACACACAATCAAAAATCATAATACACACAACAATAACAAAAGGCACTTGAATCTGATAACACGAATTCGAACACTTAACAGATTGTATAACGATAATGAGCCAAATCGTCGACAAATGATTCACACACATAATTTACCATTTAGAATGTACAGTTATAGAGTTTCCGTGGCCAGTGCGGGCCAGGAATGCAATCTAGCGGAGCAAAGTTAATAACTCCGAAACGAAGCATTTTCGAAACTTGGCGTCTTGAAAAGTTTCTCATCATAATAAGAACCATCTATTGACATAAACAAATAGTTCAAAACTCTTCCGCAAAGATGGCGCCACAATCTAACTTCTTTCTCTAACGTTTTGGATACTTGATGTCTTCGGCAAAGTTGTTTATCTTGACAAAATAAACAACTCTTTTGCAAACGTAAAATTTCCACAGCCTACTGGTTACTGGAGTGCAATGCATTTAAACAATATATTTGAAATTTAAACACCTATTTTCACTTTTTTGTGTAATTCCATATAACTCGAAAGCAGTAGGCTGTGGAATTTTGACGGCTTCAGATGAATTGTTCATTTTATTAACCTTGTCTAAGACGTTAAGTCGTCAAAACGCCATTTCAATCTTTTCAATTGGCCATTTCAATGCAATAAAAAAGTTATAGAAAAAAAAAAAACATAGTCCACTAAAATGATGATATCTCAAATACCTAACTATACCTCTCTAAAATTTTGATATTTTGATTATCGAGTATTGCTTAATTTTTGCTGAAAATATCTGGTTGTGATTTTTAGCGCTTTGGGAGATATTAAATTCAAAAATTGTTGTTTAATTCGTTTTTTATCACAATATCTTTAAAATATGAAGCTTAAGCCAGTGTGTTTCTCACACAAGTTCTTTATTTGATACATTTGTACAAGAGAAAAATATAACATTATATGTAAGCAAAAAAACTGAACCAGAAGAAAAAAAAAACATACTTTCGCAATTTTTTTCTTTAACTCTATAAAACTTGGAGCCTGTTGGAGGCTGTTAAAATTTTACGTCTACAAAGTACTGTTTATTTTGTCAAGATAACCAACCTTGTCTCCAAAATGTCAGAGAAAGAAGTTAGATTGTGGCGCTATATTTGCGGAAGAGTTTTGAACTATTTGTTTATGTCAATAGAGTTTTGAACTATTTGTTTATGTCAATATTATAAAGAGAAACTTTATCGACGACAGCAAGTCGCGAAAATGCTTCGTTTCGGAGTTAATAATTTTGATCATTGAACTTAACCGATAGAACTAAGTACGATGATTGTTTGATATACGTTAAAACTAATGCTAATAAACATGCCAAAAACAGCCGAAACGTTGGTCAGTAGAAATTACCATCGAAGTATAATCTGTATTAATCAATTCAATAGCTTGTATTTTGTCTTGCAATAAATTTTCTTTTAATTCGCATGAAACAAAAAAAAAAATAATTCGAGTATGTAGATGAAAATTCCATTATTGAGAGCAATTTAGTCTCCTGGTTTCACAGTAGACCGTGCTCTTTATTTTGCTACTGAGAATTACTTATGAAAGTATATTTGAATAATGGGATAACCAACATAGTGCAATTCAGATACTCAAGCAGTCCATCTCTATTCAACACCATGTATCAACCTAATCAAGCTCATCACGAGGGATAATTAATTAAATGTTATTATTACTTTTCCCACGAGGTTGACGAGGCTTAAATACGATTTGAATATCAAAAACTACCCACTTAAAACGAACGCAGCACATTCTGTTCCATTCCAGTTCGGCAAGCAATCTCAGTTTAGATTTTAATACCCATTATATAATCACACCACATAACGACATGAACAATACCAGCCAGTACGCCAAGCGTAAGTACTCTTCATTTGTTGCATTTCATCTTCAACGCTCCCTTGTGCGCTTTTGGCATCTATCTCCTGTGTGATGAAGCATTATTTCAGCCTTTCAAGATCTATATCTGCGTGATTGACCATTATGAAGCGTTACCAACCCAAATACAACCTGACTAACCGACAACATGATGGTAGGGTGGCGATGATGCCAATTCGCATCGTGTTCCATAAAGCGCCCGTGACGATGAGTTTGTACAAAACGAGACCTCTCAACGACAACGGCAACGGTGGGTAAAATGTCGAAAAAGTTGATTTCCTGCTCGCCCGAGCTGCGAAAATAGTAATACTCTGCGAGCGATCTTTAATCATAATCGCATCGTATAAAGTAAGCTAATTGCTTCATTTTTTTTTCTGGTTGCTGAACGGTGGCTTGGCCTGCGAGAGCGTGCGGCTATGAGTTAGGGTCACTGCTGGTGGAAAATATGGTTTCACACGCGGTGATGAGCGAAAAGTGATGGAGATTAAATCGATATGCATAACGATGGCCTTTGTTTACTTTATTTTTTTTAGTGAAAAAAGAAAAGAAAAGTGAGCTAATCTATCGGTGTACTGTTAACGAAAAATAAGAAACTATTGGTATAACTATAAAAAGTTGATTTAATCGATTTGATGCTGACGTTTTTCCAAATGTACAAACATTATAAATTATGTTTAGAGTTTTTTTTTTATTATTAACCTCACCTGGGGAACTGCTTTCGAATTATAACGCTGGTGTTATTGAGTTAAGAATCACTCACAAACCCACTAAGGTTACTGCAAAAAGTAAACTTTCATTTGCATCACCGGTAGGTCACCAACTTTCTCCAATCTGATCGGAGCTACCGATTTCATTAGTTTATATTGTTTTATGACTGTCGAAAAAAAGAGTAATTTCTGGAACACGAGCCATCAAGGAGGAGAGGTGGGTTTGCGCTTTAATTTACCTTTGAATGCTCATGGCGAAAGGGTAATTCAAATCAACCATTGGCGTACCCGTATGGTAGATTGGATAAAGTTATTCTTCCTGGGATTTCAAGAGCTCATCCGCAGAAACGGTCATAGGGTTACGGTATGTAATGTGGGTCTAGTCCTTTCATTCGGCCTATCACGCAAATAAATAATTAATTAAGGAATATTACACAAAAAATAAGGAAAATATTGATCACTGATGGTTGATAAATGTGTACCACACACAAATCAATTTATATCACAACATTTCAATACATTTTCAGCTCTCGTAAGTAATAAAACTGGTTGAGAATATCACAATGTTCGGAGTTTTTAGCCGCCATGACTTATAAGGTTAAGATGGGAAGGTTGACTGACGATCATCAAATGGCCTGATTATGGCATTTATTGATTGGAATTACCTGATAATACACACTAGACGTAAAACTTACAGTTGCTGTTTGAATATTTTATGTTTATTTTAATTGTTTAACAACGTTTTCACAAGTAAAACATGGACCCAACTTTAGGGACACATTTCTTTTCTATGTTCCTAACTATGGCCCATGAAATTCATTTGACAGCATATAGCAATAAGAGTAACGTCAACAATGTTGTTTTGCATTTGGATGATAAGGAACGAACAGGAAGGGAGATTTTTTCTGCCAAACCTGTATAATGAACATCACAATGTTCTGATTTAGATATTCTGCGGTCAAAAGACGATAAGCGAAATTTTTAATTTTTAATTTTTAAATTGAGTGATTTAATGTAGTTTTCGTAAAATTTTCTCTAAGAAATGTTTTGAGGAATGAAGAGCATTAAGTTAACAGTGATAGTGATAAAAAAAAAATACATCAGAAAACGTTACCAAGAGCGTTTTTTTGAGGATCAAACAAGATAGGACGAAGTTGCATCCATAAATAGACCCAATTTGGGGACAATAGACCCATATTACATACATTTCCCTCGTGAGTTATTGTCTTAAAAAAAGTAAGTTTTTCAACTTTTCGTGGTTTCTGATAGCAAACGACATGATAAGCATATCTAAGCATACCATTTAGCAGTAGAATATCGTTTGCAGGTAAATTCATTGATGAGTTATGATTAAAAACGTAATCGATGGCTGCATATTAGACCGAGGTTAGGGACGTATACCCTATGTACAAAACGATAATCATTAACCAATTTCACCCAAAGGCGCCTCTTACTTCGCTACGCTGATGATGATGACAGTGATGGTACCCAGTCAATAATTTAGCGCTATTGGTGAAATTAGTGCTAATGGATCCCATGTGCGTTTTGCAATGGGAGAAAGTGATTTTTGTTTTAGCTTGTTGAGGAACATTACCTGGGAAATGAAGCACGCAAATCTGCTCTCAATTTAGTGAGCAAATCGGTTACCGAGCCGAACTGACGCAATGTCATTTCGCTGTCCATTTCCGGTGGTGCTGGAATTGGTGATCTGTGGGAGAAATTTTGAGGGTATGTAGCAGATACTTTGAACCTGGCAGATGAATTATAAAATTACCTATATTCGGAATTTTTGTGAGGCAACGTATGAGACCGGCTGTCAGCGAGTTGTTGCTGTTTTTCTTCACCGGGGGTTGTGTCGTAGATCGATTTGAAGTTCCCATTGGTACCACGGCGGCCGTACTTCTTAAGCGAGATTACATAGTCCTCTGGGTTGAACACGGGTGGCCGCTGATTCTCTTGCTGTCGAAGGAATAGACAAGAAATCTTGATTTTAAAATGGTGCGCTTTGTTGAAGATGGATTACTGCTACAGTACTGGGCACATTAATGCTCATCGTGATTTTTTTGTCACTCCCCAACAAGAGCTGTAACTTTTTTGTTGGTGATTTTCTGAAGTGCTGGTTGATCAAATATTCAAGGTTTATCGGAATTATTTTCAGCCTGATGGATTGAATCAGCATGTTGTTGGAGTAAATTTAGTAAAATGCTTCTTAAATGGTCACCATTTATCGAATTGTTATTTCTTGAAGCACAATAAACCAAATCAGCTTTTTTTATTTCTAGGCATCAAATTATACTTTCAATTGGCTCAACATTTACTGAATTCCATTCATGAGAAAAATAGTTGCTACAGTTTAATATGGAAAAACGCAAACTTTACCGCAACAATCGAGAACAACCCTTTTTTGGTTCCATTTGGAGTCCCAAACAACTGTGCAAAATTTGGGGACGATTAGTTGTAACTCGGCTTTCCGCATTGCGTTTGAAATTTGTATGGAAATTAGTATGGGAAAACCAACTTTTTTGCATTTTTATCCCTAGAGACCACAATTTTGCATGAATATAGTCCAGGAAGTGCCTAACAACTTTGCCAAAGAAAGTACGGTGCTAAAATGTATAAAAAAAAAGAAGATATAGCTATTCAAATATTTATGGTTTGAATTAAACACCAAAAATCCCTTTTTCTGCCAACACTGCCGGTGTACCAATTGAAGTCAGATTCCAACTGAAATAATATCGGAGTTTCTTATCTTACCGATTTGGTATGTTCAGATGAATTATTCAAATACAATTGCTCTATCTCATATGTGTAGTTGGAGAGGGGGGGGGGTAATAATACACCCCATCCCTCTCACTCATATCAATAGTTTCAGTTTGAAATAACTTCGGAGTTTCTTATTTTATCGATTTGGTATGTTCAGGATGAATTATTCAACAACATTTGCTTAATCTCGTAAGCGTTGTTAGACAGCGGGGTGGGGGGAGAGGGAAGGGTTTACTGTATGCAGTTTTTAAAACGAAAATTTTTGTAGTGTAAATATTTAATATCCACTTGTCGGTTCATTTGCTACTGAGGAGATGTTGTATGAATTATTAGCAGCTGGGATATTTTAAATTTCTATACAAAGCTTTTATTTGAAATATTAAACTGTCATTCATTTCGAAATTTCGACCGGCTTCATGAAAAAACCGACAAACGAGTGGAGTAATGATACAGATTATTTCAATGCGATACAACGAGTTGCTTCCTTCTTGGTTGTCGACGATATGGCTGAATGAGGGGTGAAGCTAATATCTGACTTATCAAGAAATCCACCCGAGACCTAATTCAACAGCAATATTTGTATCAAAGTATAGAACATCATCGAAAAGAGTACCCTGAGAAATCCTTGAATATATTAAAATCAAATATAATCATTACAATCCAATGCATGACATTTGTGTGAATATATCAGACATTGTATATTGCACCAAAAGAGAATGGTAGTACTCGCTTTACAACTGCTCTTATGATATTAAGCAAATGTTTTTGAATAACCCATCCGAACAACTCGAGAGATGGGAACTCCGAAGTTATTTTAGTCTTTATCTTTACTTTCATTGATATACGTGAGGGCCGCCCGAAAGCATACAGTTAGCCCCCCATATTTAACTACGCCTATTAAATGGAGCACATGTTTTTGAATACATCTGAACATACCAACTTTACAAGACCAGAAACACCGAAGTTATTGCAGTTTGAAGCCCTACCTCCATTTATATGGGTGACGGGGGCGGGGTATAGTTAGGCCCCCTCATCTCTTAATATGCCTATGAAATTGAAAAAATGTTTTTGAATAGTTCATCTGAACATACCAAATCGATAAGATAAGAAACTCCAAAGTTATTTCATTTTGAAACTTTACTTCTATTGATATGAGTGAGCCCCCGCCCCCCCATCACCCCTCCGGCTACGCATATGGGATAGATTTATTGCTTTTGAATATTTCATCTGAACATACCAAAACGTTAAAATAATTAACTTCGATTTTGGAGTTTGACTTTCATTGGTACACCGGCAGTGTTGGCAGAAAAAGGGATTTTTGGCATTTAATTCGGAACATTGATCTTTGAACAGCTATAACTTTTTTTAGGAGCATTCTAGCATAATACATTTTTGAACAAGTTTTTAGTTGGGCTATACTTAACCGTATTTAGATGTGTGGTTTGTGCAAAATTGTGGTCCCTAGTAATAAAGATGCAAAAAAGTAGGTTTTCCCATACTAATTTCCATACAAATTTCAAATGCAATGCGGAAAGCCGGGTTACAACCAATCGTCCCTAAATTTTGCACAGTTGTTTGGGACCCCAAATGGAACCAAAAAAACATTGTTCTGAAAAAATCATCATACCCATCCTTATGGTCAACGAATCATTTAAGAATTCAAGATAACGACTTACATTTAAAAAAAAAATCACGTGTAACAATTGAAAAGGTCCTATCAGCTTTAGTGAACAAAACTTGTAACAAGACTTGTAATGCCCACTTCTTGCAAACTGAAGTTTACATACGCCAACCAAGAACATTATCGGAAAGGGGAAGATTACCTCTACCAGATGGTGTTGTTGGTTTGCAAAAACGTGTTTTGATTCACGCGAAAGGGTTATTTCAAGATTTTTTGCAAAAGCTGTTTCAAATGTTACGCGAGGAATAGCGTCAAACACACTACAATATGAGTATTATTAGAACTTTAAAATGAAAAACTAAAAGAGGTGAATTGCAAAATTAGCCTATTTTGTTAAAGGTAATGTTTTTACCTTTTAAATTAATAAAGATGCAGCTATATATTTTGAATCATTGTGCTTCAAGAAATAGCAATCGAATACCACCAAGCTCAAAACAATACCGATAAATCTTGGATACCAGCAGAAAAAAAATCCTGCCCAAAGTCGTTGGAATATTCTGAGGCAATCTATCATCTTTGCATTGTGGTCCAAAAAGGCAAAATATGGAACTTCTTTCCTATAGTCTGACCTTCTCGTTATAACCATAAAGTGTCTTCAGAAGATTTGTAACAAAAATTAGTCAAGTCTTATTGCTGATTGGATCTTAAACTGGACTGCCCCAAACATGCAAAAATTGTGATAAAAGAGCACGTCTCCGTCAAATAGTTTGGGTATCTTCACTTATTCCTTGCATCATAAGGAATAAGTGCACTCAAGACGATTAGACGGATTAACCTCTTACTTTTTAATAAGTGAAATTGTGCTTATTTGGAGTAAAATGTGCAATACCCAAACAAAACACATGTTCTATAACAGTTTATATAATATTTGTATGACTGTTTGTGGTTGTATAAAGCCTGGAACTCGCAAAAATTGGTCGACAACAAAAATCGTTTCTTTCAGTCAAAATTCATAGCACGAGAATCTTCTTATTTTTATTTTGGTAATTCAATTCATATATTTAAAGGAAAAAAAAATGGTCGTTTATTCTTTTGGTTTTTCAAATTCGAACTGCCATGCCTTTCATTTAACCCCTTCCATTAAATTTTGCACAGTGGTCTTATCGACCTTATTCGCGGCCGAACGCCAGTTAGATTTAAACTGCTGCTCGTTTTCCATGGATTTATTAGTTTTTGTTTTTAGATTCCGTTTGACCAAGGCCCAATACCGTTCAATAAGGCGGAGTTCTGGGCTATTGGGAGGGTTGTGGTCTTTGGGTACACAACCACGTTGTTCGCATCGTACCACTCGATTGCCTTTTCCCATAATGTCAGCTCGTCAAGTTCGGCCAGAACAGCACAGGTCTATTATGTTGCTTTAGGAATGGTAGCAGGCGCTTTTTCAGGCACTCCAGGACGTAGATCTCTTGATTGATGGTTCCCGTAATAATGAAAATGCCGCTTTCTAGACCACACGTGCATATGGCCTGCCAGACGAGATACTTTTTCGGGAACTTCGATAGTTCGATGGTTTTGAAAATTTCAGCCACCTTCCCTTTTCCTGATGTGGTATAAAACTTCTGTCCCGGAAGCTGCTTGAAATCCGCCTTCACATAAGTTTCGTCGTCCATGACGACACAGTCGAACTTTGTGAGCAGATTCGTATACAGCTTTCGGGACCGCTGCTTTGCCGACGTGTTTTGTTTATAATCTCGGTTCACCACCTTCACCTTCTTAAACGTCGACAACTCGGCTCGTTTCTTGGTCCGCTGCACAGTAGTATGGGCCAGGGATTACCGCCGCTTCCAGGCTTCCTGGCGGTCGACAGACGCTCCCCAAACACTTTTAAAACGTTTTTCACGGTCGATTTAGCCACATCCAGCAATTTTGCCAACTTGGCGTGTGAGAACGTCAGACTCTCTTGCTGCGCGAGCAAAATTTTGACACGCTGCTCCTCTTGCTTGAACGTCATTTTGAAAACTGGAGAGCAAATGGTGAAAACTCATTATAGCAACCATTGTATATACACTTATGTTCGAAATGCAGCATTTCAGATTTTTTTAAATGCATTTTTAACAGAAATACACCAATTTGAAGTTGACCAATTTTTGCGCGTTCCAGACTTTATTGTTACAGAGAGCCGAAGGAGGAAATGGAAAATGTTACGTACCAGATTGGCTCAACTGAACAAAAATTCAGAAACGATAACAAATTAGGGTAAGATGGTGTAATTCGTGCCACGGGGTAATATGGCTAAAAGCATATGTTTATGTGTTTTTCCAAACTAATTGAAAGGATTTTCACCCAGAATTAATAGATGAGCTACTGAACTGGAAAACAGTTCATATCAGTTGGTCTTTGAAAAGTACGAGATATAATGCCATTGGCCGTCGCACCCAACTTTAATGATGTGAACAAAAATTTCAATTTTCCCATAGTAATTCTCATAGACTTCAAGGGGCCTTTCTTAATTATTGGAGCACTATCAGAACCTGATTAAGAATTAGGTACTACCTCATCATGTAGTACCACTGTGATATACATACATAGTGAAAATAAGTAACATCTTACCTTGATGTTAGAGTTCCAGCCCAGGGTCATCTCGTTCACATCCGGTGGACCTATCTGTGTGCCCCCGGGGGGGCTTTTCCCAGCGCTTGGTGCCATCTGGTAAGAGCAGTACGATATGTCACTGAAATGGAAAAGAAAAGGAAAAACAATATTAGCTTCTGTCTATAGCTTGCTAGTTTGTAAGCAAAGTTCATAATCGATTCGTGATCTTCCGAAAGCCGCACCGTGCATTGGAATCAATCACACATCGCATGTAATGAGCGGATGTTCGAAGAAAGTTGCACGACTTCCCTCCTCCACAGCGGTTTATACCGTGGAAAAGTTTCCCTAGGGAGACAAAATGTGTGCGGCCAGAGTGTAATTTGTCGATGGAAGCGATCATGATGGACAGAAATTGAAACCGACCTTTCCAAAGATCATCTGGTGGTTTGTGCGCTATGGTAAGGGTCAAATCACCACTGATCGCTGGGTAACAGTTTTATCGAATTCCGTGACAGCTCGCACACGTTACTTGATCTTTGCCAAAAGGCACAGAGAGCTAATGTTTTGCTAGGTTATAGTTGGTTGAATTCTGGTTAGTACATTTAAGTATAGTGCCAATGTGGCATAACTGATTGGTTGATGTGATCAAGCATTTTATTTGTATGGTCGATATTCGCGTAGCATAGCATATCTTGAATTCAACCAGCTCTATTTTAAATGGCTACGTTGAGTAGTATATTATCTATTAGTAATATCATTAGATTTCACAAAGATTAAAAGAAAATCACTGTAGATACACCAGTTTTATATAAAGAGTTGAATTAGTAAACAACAGTCGCAAATAGTTTCTCCCGTTTAGATGATTTTGAATGCATGCAGTGCTGAACTGTGCTTTTACTCATGGGCTGTGTTGACTGTTTTTCTTGTGTCTCGAGGAATGCGTTCAGTTTTTGCTTATAGGTTTTTCAGTTGGGAAAATTGCATTGCTTATTGAAATTCAAATGGTGCTATGAATGAAATGTGCTATGCATGAAATGTGCTATGAATGAAATGTGCTATGACTTTATTTCAATCCACTATCGACTATCCTACAGAGCAGCAATAATTTGAAGATTCACATGATTGCGGTGATTACCATGAAGGAGTTTTTTCCAACGATGTTTGAACATGTTCTGCAAATGTTAAATAGGGTCGATATTTTTCCTATAGACCACTTATTACATTGTTAACGAAAACGAAAGTGACATGATAGTTTTGCTGTATGTGTAGTAAACTCGCAAAGCCAGCCGTAGCCTTCTTAATTAGTGCATAGCTTTGACTAAATAGCTTGGTAAAAATGAGCATGTACTAATAAGGATTTATTTATTTTACTTGTATCCGTTTCTAAAACTCTGTGTCTTCTTATACTTGAAAATGGTATTGTTTCTCTAATCTTCAAAAAGTAGCTGATATTTTCATATGTATTTTTATAATACACTACTGGTCATGCTTGGCATGCACAGTTGTACACACCAACTGCTCATTTGTTAATTACTTTTCACTCAATTGTTGAAATTTGTTTTTCTTTAAAGTAATCGTTAGATTAGGATCATAGCTTAAAGAGTAGGTAAATATTAAAATTTGAATCAACACAAATGAATTTTTAAACTTAAGGTCCGAGATGTGCAGCGTGCATTTCTCACTTCATTTTTCCAACGCAAAAACAAATACAGTTTTTACTAGAATTAAAACTCTTATTTTCTTTATGTATCTATAACAAACTTAAACTATAGAATACTGCTTCAAAAAGAACTATAACTATGTATGCAAAGCATGCTACTGGTCATTACAAATAATACACCGTGCATTTTTTTGTTTCTCCATGAACATGCTGTTACTTTTCAATATGTGCAGCCAAATTTCCGGACTTATCAGTAAACATTTTGACCTGATTGGCCAAGTCTGTAAGAAGTTAAAATTTTTTTAGTAAATTGCATCTTATTTTACTGCCAATTTTCCATCGGATATTTCATGAAGTACAATGATCGAAATTAGCTAAATAAATTATCATTTGTAGTCAAAAGAATATTCTTTTAAGCTGCTCAATCCATAAACGTCGAAAAAAGTGACATTTTGTTGTCGTTTTAATAATCCAAAAAAATATGGTATAAAATATATTTTTTTTTTATTTTTGCTTCTGGTTTTCAACCAAGCCTAAAATACACTCCAAAATGGGATGTCAAATAATTTGGCTGCAAAATGATAAATCCAAGCAGCTAAACTGAAAAACTATCAATTTTTCATAGACGGTGAAGAACAAATCATATGCTTTCGTCGTGAATTGATTTTAGTAGATTTGAAGCAGTTTATAGGAATTATGTTGATTACAAATGGTAAGTTTTTTTAAGCTTATTTGGGATATTGTACGTCAAGTCATAACAGATTGAAAAATTGTAGTCAAATAAGAAGCGATTTACTTTTTTTTATATTGATTTATTTGTACAGGCTCAATCGAATAAACTTTACAGAGCCGAGTTATCATTTGCATTATACATGAATAATGTCTTAAATCTAGAGTTAAAGGAATTGAACCGATTACTCGTGGTCGTCTCGAGGTTAGTGGAGATTTACAATTTTTTGGATGGGGAAAGGGAGAAGGAGGTTTGAAATATGATTTATTATACAAATATTTAATTAATCCTAAAACATGAACTTATTTCTATTCATCTTCAAAACAAACATTAAAAAAAACTACACGCACAATACCCAAACTAAACACAAGGTTAATCAAGCTCACAATCTAAGGTTAGTATTCTTAGAGTAAACATATATGAGAGAAGCGATTTACTGAAATTGATAGATACTGAATCTTTGATATTCAATATTCTGATGAAAATTTTGGTTGTGTTTTAAATTTCAGGTAGTCCTCGTAACGTGGGTAGATCACCTTTTCGTGGTACGTAGCGGGATGTAAGATCTACCATTGATTCCTAGTCTTGACTACTTCAAACTAGGGGAACAGGATTTTTTCAGTAATCAAAGGAACACATCTTAGTCCTTGTTACTTTGTTTGCCTTGTTGATAGTAAAGACTCGGATTTGTCCACCGAGGATGATCTTAAAACAAGGTAAACATTAATTAGTTAGTCTTCATCTATGTGATTCCTAATCTTCTATTCATTGTTCCATAGTTTGAAGTGGTTAAGACTAGGGTTCTGATGCATGGTCATTTTCGACGGTGTCATTGCTTATTTTTGTTGCTAAGAAATCTGGTTTTGACTGACAAAAGGGCTCGCCTTTGGAGGGTGTTTCAACACTCCGAAGGGTATAAATAGCGGGACCTTTCAGTTAGAATCGTTTCTTTGCGATGAAGGCAAAAGTGACAACTGTATCAAAACCGAATACTTCATCATTTCTCAATATTGATGGAGTAATACGACATGCACTAAACTAAAGACACGGGGTATGCTACAATAGATCAAATTACTGGTCGCAGTGGTTTTATGTCCCGAACAGAAAAAAAAATTACAGGTGACTTTAAAGAGAAGTTAATGATTTTCTAAACAGAATTTATAAGGAATTCTTTGAGCCAATTCTGAGGATAAATTAAAGGAATACTATGCAGAAATATAAGAGAATCGAGTTCTGAAGTTAGAAAAATTAAGGAATTGGAGAAGACAATTCTGAATAATATTCAATGGAAATAGTTCAAAAGAAATTCCTAGACAATCCTTAAGAGAGTCACAAGCGAATTCTGAGCAAAAATCCATGAGAACATGAAAGAGTATTTCAAGAAAATCCTGATTAGAATTTCATACATTTATTGTCATATTTCGGAAAATTTCGGTAGATTTCCAACGCAAATTTGAGGAAGATTTCACGACCATTCTGAAGTGAATGCCATGCCAACTAATTGGGTCTTGTAGGTTTCCATCGGGTATTTCAAACTTATTTCATGTGAAAATCATAGCTGAGAATTGTAGGATCAATACGAAGAATTGGAAGAGAATTCTTAAGATAAAAATTTCGCTCTTCTCTTCAACGGATTTACTTTCATGCCAAAGGAAGATGTGACCAGTACAATGATCGAATGAGCACGAAATTTTCTCCATACAGCATTCAAAAACACAAATTACACATAATGCCCTAACTGGTTCCATTGTTTATATTGGATAGAGCAATCACTGGTACGCCTACCCTATCATGCTTTAATGCATTTGTAATTAGATCTGAAATTATGGCTCGCATTATCAAGATAGCAAATATGATGCCCCAATGATTAGTAATGGAAGTCATTAGTGCCTAGTTTCTTGATTTTCTGCTATCAATCTATCATTCAATAGGAGCAAAACAAATAAACGTTTCCAGTCTACACATATAAAAAAAAGTTAACGATGCGTGTTGAAGAAAAGTGAAAACATTAAGAGTTGAAAAACCGAAACAATGTTGGCCCATAAAAAATGCACACTTTAATGCAAACAGTGGGTTTTATGTTTGCTTTGCTGCTCCATGGATAGCAATTATTAACCAGACCTATCCGCCACTCGGCGTTGTCACTGTCGTCGTCGTCACCGTCACCGTGATCACTGTTGTTATCTGAAGAAGGAAATGGTTGAATAGTTGGTGGATGAAAGAAGGAAGGTGATTCTTCCAGTGGTGGTTAAAAAAAATAACACTTCACTTAATATGTTTCTATAATGAAGATATTTAGCGACACAACTGCCGGCGTTGCCACCGCATGATAGAGAGTTCATTGGGATTGAAGAAAAGACAAAATTCCTACATATATGAAAACAGACTGAAAATGTGTTCTTTTATGGCTAAAGAGTAAAGATGTGTGTAACGATAACAGTGTAGCTCAGTAAGTGGATCGAATTCATCTATTATTGCAAAAAGTGGGGCTACTCAGTGAGTGAGTAAAATTTCTTCACTATCCCAGGAAAAACTGCTTGAATATGAAGAAAATCGCCCAAAATTTCAAGTCCAAATCCAAGTATAGGAGTATACTAACAAACTCAATTTTCCTCATATACCAGAACAACCCCACTTTTTAAAATTTTGAGTCAAATTCGACTCAATTGTGAGCTACTCTCGTTGACCGTGTACAGGCTAATGAATCAATTTTCATTTTTATATGCTTGCACATATAACTTTCGATTGT